TCTATGCTATTAGTACAGCAAGTAGCAGTGCACTATTAGAAAATAAAGTGTGCTGATCTCACTTTTACTTTTCAGTAAAAAGGAGTAAAAGGTTTTATTCTACATAAAATTTACTTGAGATAAGGAAGATAGGGTTTTCTTCTCAGTGTAGAAAGAAATAATCACCTGATGTTGCATGCGCCAATACAAGAGTTAGGTGGGCACAAGAAGCAAGCAAATAAGACACCCTACCCTTTGTTGTGCCACATCAGGTAGCCTTAAATAGTGCAGACATTTATTTGCATGGTGGCAGGAGAGTGCAGGCAGCTCCAGCTACCGTGAGGGCTTGAGGGGCCTGATCTAGTGGACTCTGGGAATTCCTGCTCAGAAGCGGGACCATCAAGTCTGAGGAGCATCTGCCCAGCTTTCCTCACTTCACATGGAGGAAGAGGTTTGCATGCACCCTGACAAGAAGGGACAAGGGAATTCCTAGTGTCCCATGTTTCCTTGCCAGGATATATGCTGCCTTGCACTGTATGTGGAGGCACAAGTCAGTGAGGGTCCAGGGTAGAGGCATGGGACACTGGCAATTCCCTGGGTCCCATGCTGTCCCAAACCCCTGCATGAGGCATAGGTCATTGTGGGACCTGGGTCCTGGCAAGGAAGCACAGGGCCACATGGGATGCAGGGAATCCCTAGGTCAGGGGTACACATTGCCTATTGTTGCGCATCAGCCCTCTGCCTGATGCAGGAATACAAGCAATGTGCAATTCAAACAAAGTGAATCAACTGTGGCAAGATGCATCCTGCTACAGCTTGATCTGCTTCATCTGGTGACATCTATTTTTTTTAACCCTCATCTCACCTTCTCCCCAGTAACTGTTCAAGTACATGCGTACCAAATAGTAAATGGAAGTTAAACTGCAGTAATTTGCCCATTGTTGGGGGCTAAAATGGTTTGTCAAGCCAGGGACACATTTTACATCTGTAGCACTAAAAATGAGGCTAGAGCCAGTAAGACTGTTTGCGGCACTACAAAGACAGGGAAAGTGCTAGAAAATGTTAACCCTTTCAAAAATGAGAACTTTAGTAGGGTGACTGTGCAATTCATGTAGTTGCACATAGTGCTACACCCATTTTTAGGGCCCCCAGCATCCCACAGGCCTCTTTGCTTGCCTTTCTTCCCTCCATGAGAAAGGGAGAGAAGAAAAGCAGATGACTCCTGCCTAGCCTACCCAGGCCCAGGTAGGAGCAGTCAGGGAGCCCTGCTCAGATGATACTATTACAACTGCTTCAGATGCCTCTACAAGAGCTGAGGCTTTTAAAGTGGTATCAATTCTTACTGCTGCAGCCAGCTCTGTAGATCAGCAGGGTTGGGCAGCAGGGGCTCTCTCAGCTGATCTCCAACCATCTGCTCCTTTCCCTGGGAGGGGGTGGAATTCAGGGAGCAGCCCTTATTTCCTACTAGCTCAAGTGCCTACGCACCGTTACAGTGCTATATTTCCTTAGCACTACTAAGTGCCAAGACACTGTGGCACTTGAAAACAAACACCTGTCTACATTGTTATGGTACCATTTGCTCAGGCACCAAAACCAAGTTTGACAGCTGGCATTTTGTCCTCAGCAGAGGGAAGTTCTACATGGGAAGCAAGTGCACTTACATTTTCTCAAAACAATACCACTACATCAAAGCTTATCCTCCATAGTTTATTATTTTACACTGCAGGAGTGAAAAAGTTATTTTTATAGACATACCAGGTAGCCAAACTCAATGGATGAGATCTTTGCCTGTATAATGGACCACAGGCCCCAGAAGAAGTGTGATGCAAGGGCAAACCTGCAAGTCATAACACACACATTAGCTGAAACATTTCACTAAGGGATAATCTTAAAAAAAAGTTTAGCCAAGACAAAAGCAACATTACTTTTGTTATAAAACTCGCTTATCTTTTAAACAGGCTTTGGGAAGATATTTTGTTGGGATGTTTGAATAAAAATTTAATTATAAAGGTGTGTATTCAAGTACTCTGAAGAAATCTGAAGCAAAAGCCTAACTAGAAATAACTCTCATTATAAATGGGTATTTCTACAGAGCATCATGTCTCAACCCAAAAGTGGGTCGCAAGAATATACAAGAGAGTCACAAACAAAAGTGGATTTTTTACACACTTAAAATGAATAGATGCTGCTTGTGCTTCACCATATGTTAATGCTGTGCATGCTAATAAACAGGGATCTGGGTTTTCTACTTGCTGTGGAAAAAAAGTGTGGATTTTCTCCTTTAAAGAGCTGTGGCTCAACACATGACTAGCTGGCAGCAGGAGGTGAAGGCAGTGCTCCCCCTCCACACCCCCATCCATTATTCCTCATGCTGCTGCTGGTGCAGGGGTTCTGGTGGCAGTGGCAGCAATAGCAACAAGTCTTGCTGCCCTGCTCCACCCTCCTGCACCAGTTCCCACCTGCTTGGCCATAGATGAGGCTCTTACCCATGTCAGTCTGGCCAGGCTGCAGCCCCATGCCTGCTGTGGGCACAAACCTGGGGGGGCACGTGCTCCCTCATGCCCCACACACTGAAGTGGACACTGACAGGGCTCGGGGGCTGTTTTCTATTTAACTTTACTGGGTTGGGACTGGCCCTCATTGGTTACAAGTGGACCCTGGTACAAAATAAAAGTTGAGAACCACTGCTAGAGGCACCAAAATGGAAGCGTCAAACATGCAAGTCAACTGCAGAATGTCAGCTGTACTATTACTGCTACAAGCAGATAAAAATGGAGATACCTATTGACTTCTGTCAACATTTCTTCTTCTATTTTCAACTTTTCTTGATTGCTCAGATTTTCAAAACCATTTTGGAAGGCAGTCAGATAGTTAGAGAAAAAATGAAGCTAGAAAGAGAAAGAACATGAGAACAGTTCAGACAACTTAGTCTACAAAAACTCACTAGAATATTCAGTATTTAAGAGATTTGAACTCTTCAGCATCTTCCTAATCTCACAAACTGCTACTACACAAGCTTATTTCAAAATCCATTTAGTTAAGAAATCAATTCAGCAACAGATTACTAAATATGGCATGTTAAAGCACCATACTATTTGTCATTCTAGGTTCACAGTTAATCCTTTTGCCATTTACTTTTTCCCTATTTTGATCAAAAGAGTAACAAATCCACTATTTCAGTAACACCACGACACTTCATACATGCCAGAGAACAATAAGCATTTCACTGGGAAATGCTGTTAGTGCATAATATAGCTACCTTATGGACAGAGTCTTCTTATTCACTGAAAGCATGGCAGAAATTTTGGTTCATAGGATATAGGGTACTCACCCAAAGTGAGTCAAGAAAAGCAGAGCTCCAGTCTGGAGCTAGTAGACATCAATGGCGGACAAACACCATGTTCAGGCACCTACCTGTTGTTTCCTGGTGGGATACTTCAGAAAACTGGCTTTGAAGAATGGGTATTTTTCATACGTATAGTCATACATCCATTCACAGAAGTGGTTTCCAATATCAAATCCTCTGAAAATTAAGAGATCAAAAGGAAAAAAATTCTTCAAGAAATATTCTGAATATTTGCATAGACACTGTTTACTCTTGTTAAAGTCTAAAGAATGCTTTAATTTTGAGGCACCAAGTATGTTGGCATGACAGTGCATTTTACAAGTAGAAATAATTGGCAACTCAGAAGATGTTCCTACCCATTTCATGGAACATGAACAAGTTAGAAGGCTTCTCAGCTAGAGATGCACTAGAATTTACCACCAACTTTAATTCAACATAGGAAAGAAGCTTGTATTGCATATGAAACAGCAATACCTCACAGTAATTCAGAACACTAAAGTGTATGATATCAGTGAACAACTTGCCTGAGAATTAATGGCCATGTTATTGTCACAAAAACTACAAGTCCACTTCTATACTGAATGAAAAAGACACTCTATTGTCACTTGAATTTTTATTTAAAATTCCTGATCTTGAGAGTTTAGCAGAAGCTACAAACTTAAATGCTATGGGCTCAATGTGTTACTTGGGCAAAAATGGCACCAATTTTGCTAAAATTAGAATCAGAAAAAAGTGAAGCCAGGTAATGTTTTTGGTAGCCATGCAATAACTGATATTTGTGGCATCTGTACTTTATGTAGTCTGCAGACAACAGGGAGAATAAAAAAGGTGTCACATAAAAGGATTGTAGCACTGCAGATGTGGCCGAAGACCCATGCTCATGCCTTTGTGTTTTTAAGAAGCTTATTTAGTAAATTTTGTAGACTGAAGTAGTGCGTTGCATACATCAAACCAAGTAACATTCAGAGTTGTCAATAGGTCTCAGTTTTCTTAACTACTGTAGAGGGGGGAAAAGAGAATTCTGTTGCCTCAAAAGAACTGGAACCAAACTGATCTGATAAAATAAAGTTGCAGCAACAACCCTATTTAAGAAGGAAGAAAAAGTCGGTAAATTCAAGAAAAAGCAACTTAGACACAGCAGGACACAAACTGCTTTAAAACAGTTGCAGACAGAAGACAACAAAATCCCTTCAAGCAGAATTTCAAGAAACATTACTCAGCTATTACTTTAATGTGACTTGCTTATTTCTGAGGATGAACTTGTTCCTGTAGATATGGTCACAAGCTAAACACTACTTCAACTAAACTGTAATAAAACTGCCTTCAGACATCTGAAAATTAGATTTCAGATGCAAAGATGTAGGCATTTGAGAGACTGCCAACCTGTCGCTCAAAACTGCCAGTATATAGGGCTGTGTATATCAGTGGCAAACAGGATGTGATGCAAGGAAAGCAACTCACTGGAAAAGATAGTCTTAATAGACAGCAAAGCATTTGCATTCATTGCAGGTTATAAAGCAGAACTAAGTGCTCCTTGAAACAAAAGTAGGTGAAAAGCAGTTTACCTGTAGTTGTAGCTGCTATACTCAAAGTCAATAAGCATCAGCTTTTGATTTTCAGAATCCTCTCTGCCTTCCAGAAGCAAAATGTTACCTGGGGGACAGGGAAGAAAAAAAAAAGTTGAGACAAAATATTCTAAGTAGACTCTCTTGTGAAAGGAAGACTGAAGGATCACAACTCTTTAAGGCATAGTGTATTTCTGCTTATCAGGATACATAGTTTAGTTGTAAAAAGCTCTTTGCCCTACTTGATCCAACCCTTCGTCATAATCCCATACTTTAGTATGTCTGTAGATGCGCATGGATTCTGCTCTGACATGTTACAATTATAGTGTGCCAGAGCAGAATCAAATTTGACTCTACTAACTAATGTACTCCAGTAGCCACCATGTCTTGTGTATTCAGAGTCCCGCAATTCAAAATGACAGCAGGAGCACTTTAAAACTCTTTGAATGAGCTTTAGTTAAAGTGTTCCCGTTATCATTTTGAATTGTGGGACACCGAATACACGTGGTGCTGCAGGTGCTTTAAATTTTAGCAGCTCTCATAGCTGCTAACTAAAAGTGCCCTCTGCACCACAACCCCAGAGCACATGTAAAGATGCCCTTAGAGTTTACTGAAAGAGAATGGATTTTGTTCAAGAAGTTTGTAGAAAGCAATACAGTTTGTATCTACACTATGGCTAGGAACAGACATTTACACAAACTGGTTTAAGTTATGAGAAACTGGTTTAAACCTGTAACAGAACAGATGTTCAGTGCACATAAGCCAGTTTCAAGATGGCTGAAACTGGTTTGAGACAAACCTGGTTAAATGCAGTATTGGACTTAACAGACTTGGGTCAAACCAGTTTTTGCAGTGTTTGTCCCAGACCGCTTACTGGTTTAAAATAAGCCAGAGACCCACCCGCCAGCATTTTGGCATGCTCTCTGGGCTAGGCAGGGCTGGACCCTCCCTCTGCTCCCTGGTTATAGCTCAGCACAGACTTGCAGACACAGCAATCTGCCTGGTTTCCTCCTCCTAAACAGGGATTATTCCCCCCTCCCCTATGCAGATGCCACAGCATTAGCTAGCAGACCACATGCCAGCTACAGTCCTTGCTGTGGGAGACAACAGGCAGACAGGCTTTTTGTAGTCAATTAACAGATAGCTTAAATGTTCTTCCTTGGAAAAGCTGTTTAAGACAACCCACTTGCTCCCCATCACCACTCCCTGCTAAGCAGAAATTCCCCCCTCTGGTCCCTGCCAAAAAATAAACAGGTAGCTGGTAAATGACCCTCTGTTGTTTTCTCAATAGGATGATAAACACTTATCAATTCTCTGGTGGGCTAAACCAGAGCGTCCTGTAGGGTCTGGCCATGCCCCCTCCCTCAGTTAAGTATTATCCAAGGGAAGGGAGGGCTGCTCTAGCACCCCCCAGTTTCTAACCTGAGCCACTGCAGGAATGTCCGTGCAGTTACAAAGTGATTTAACCTAACCAGGTTAGACTAACCTGCAAAGACAGAATCAATTTAGGCTCAGGGCTTTTTGACTGTCTGTCCTTAGACTTAATGGGCTGGAACATATACGCAAGTGGAATGCTAACCATTATTCAGCTAGTTAGAACTAGATAGTTCCCATTCCCATGAGTCTTCCTCCATCTTTCAGAATTGTGGCTTTTAAATGCTACAGTTTTGCTACCCGTCTTGTATTCCTTTATAAACCTTACCTTCCTGCATTGTGCTATGCCACCAATAAATGTAAACCAAAATGAGTAAGAAATCAACTAAAAGCAGCCCTGTCATAATACATTCAGTCTTTAAACATAGCTTAATAAAAAGCAACAGCACTACCTTCCTGACAGTCATTGTGGCAAAATACAACGGGTGATGAAGTGGCTTCCAGCATAGACCTAGAAAGAGGAGAGGACAATATAAAGACCAAGAACGCTTCCAGTCAACTAGCTTTCTTCAACTTAAGAAATTCTGTTCTGCAAAACCCGTGTTTCAAAGTTTCTAGTCAGATCTATGCAGATTTTCAAGTATTCTGTCGACAAGTGCAGGGCAAAGTTGGGCATCACTGCAGCCAACTCAAAATGCAGATAGGCAAAACTCTATATTCAGTATTACATACAAAAAAAAGGCAGATATTGTGGCTAGAGGAACCACAGTAGTTCCCCAACCAGTGATACAAGTTCAGGAAACTATATTAGTACAACTTTGTTGTCAAACGCAAATGTTAGATGCTGCTGGCAACTTAAGTTGATATAATGTTAAGTAGTACCAAAAGTCAAATCCTACCTCAGGCTTTTAATTTCTTGGGGCAGATTGTAACTGAGGAGTTTATTCAGTTTTCTAATTCGGGATTCTTTGGTAAATTTTATCTTTAGCACTTGATTTAAGTACCTACCAAAAAAGAAAAAAAAAAGTAGTTTAATATGGTACCAATTTCCCTGCTTTATGACTTACATTAAGTGAGTAGAGTGCTATACAAGACGACTTACTTTTCCATTGTCCCAAAAAGCCACTTGGGTTCTTTATTAAATGGCATTTTCATGCCATGAAATCTGGCCATTTTCTCAGCTATTTCAGCCGATATGTCAGGTAAGCTTAATTCTTCAGTGTCTAGCTTTCTGCTCTGTAACACAAGGCACACTTGAAAAAAAAACAGCTAGCGGAAGTGTGAATAATAGAATTCAATATTGAAACAGGAGTATGCATTACACAGTGGCAACAATTTCAGAACTGCCATGTTTGGGAAAGTTTAAATTTCAGATCATCCCTTAGTGGCTTGTCTGATAACCTTTGCTCTTTTGAGTGGTAAGTAAGCCCAGAGAAGTGTCAAATCACAAGGCAAAGGCTCACATTCTTGGTCAAAAAAAAATGTAGAAGATACTACATTATGCTTTTGGAACACAGATCCCCTTCCCGTTCCAACTTAAAATGACAGGCTCCTTCAGCACCAAGCGTCTTGCTATCAATACAAGCAAGACCTCGAGGGTGGTTGCTAGTTTCCTTTCCCCATAAATTAGTGGGCTTTTCCACTAACTGTAATAAAAGTTACCAAAAAAAAATGACAGAAAAACGAGACTGGATGGGCGAGTTCTTGAGAAGTCCTCCGTGATGGATAATTACCAATATCCCTTTGCTACTCTCTGCTTTCACAGATTTCCCCACATATCAGTTACAGCATCCTACACAATGTGCTGACTAACCATGAATGGGACTTACTGGAATGAATTCTTCTAGTCGGCCTTGTGGAAAGATCCCATACAGTTTTGGGCCAAGAGCTCTCTCTGCAAGAATGGCAAACATAACACTCTCCAGAACCATGGCTTCTGCCCCCTGAACAAAATTAAGAAAGTTAATGGATGTTCACACAGTAGTGGACAAAGTAGGCATCTTTACAAGGAAAGCTGTCAAATAAAGAGATTAGGATTTACAAATTGAGATAAATGATAGGCTGCCTCCAAACATTAAAAATGAAGCACAACAACAAGACACATGCTTTATCAGAAGCAGCACCAGCACGTTACTTCAATCCAACTCCATAGCATGTTTAGATTAGACATTTCAGTGGGACTTTTTGGCACTTTTAGCTAATAGCCAATCCAGTCAGCTATTAGCTAAAAGCACAAGAAAAAAACTCCACTAAAGCACCCAGTCTATACAGAAGTTGCACAAGGCAGATCCAACTAACATGCTGCCTTTTCTGGGTATGTGCTGGCCTAGGTGTGGGAACACACTACATTTGAAGTGTAGTGTTTTGTTTGTTTTTTTTTTTTTGTTTTTTTAAATATCCACAAGCAATCTATATGTTTAAACCCCTTCCCCCAACACCCCCCCTTTCAAAGAAAACTACCAGAATTACAATTGTTCAATACAAGGGGATTTAAATGTAAAAGTAATGCAGTGTTTCAGGTTCAAGAGAAAGATGAAGTAGAAGAAGTGTTTACTGAGTATCTAAGTACCCTGTAACCTGGCAAATACCCTGCCCAAATTAAAGCAAGCCAACCACAGCTAGCTACACAGCAGTTGAAACTTTAACTTATTTCTACTTTAAAACATGGAACACAGAGCTAAAGTATGCTCATTAAAGAGGAAGGGACTCTACTTTTGAGTTGGTAAATTCTTCCATTTTGGCATTTTCCCCTCAAAATATATTTTTTATAAATAAAAATTGAGGGTACTAGGTATGGCAGAATCAGTTCTCATTTGGTGGATTATATGTACCATGTTCTAAAATTAAACTCTCCTACAAACTACACTTGCCCCTGACACTTCCCAGGAGCAATACAGAACCACATCAGCCTCAACCTCAGATCAATGCAGAAGTTAGTCAGTTGATGACAAGAATTTTGTATTAGTTCTCAACCTTTCCTGACATCAGTGGCATTACTCAACCCATTATGTTCCCCTTAAGTGAAGTTGTCACCATGGTCAATATTAGTCCTATAGACCATGTGTACAAAGTCTGCCTAAGAGTACTGAGCCCACATCTCCCACATCCCTCAATGGAGCTGTGACCACTAGGTTATAAAAGCATTCTACTGAAACTTTGCAGGGAGGTGGGGGTGGTAGGTTTATAGATCTTCCCCTGCACTGGGTTTTTTTTTTTTAGTTACCCTGATTATGTTTTAAGCAGCTCTTAACTGTTGCCTAAGAATTTAATTTGCATCTCAGACTCCACAGTGAATAACATTTTCTGTGGGTGTTAGCATCAGGCAAAAGATTTTCTGCTAGTGCAGCGTTTAAAACAACCTACTTGCAAGGCTTGTAATCCATCTTGCAATGCAGGGAAAAATGACAGGTGCAGCCATGACTTAACTCTAGAATAGAAAAAAGGGGGGAAAAAATCCTACACAACTACTACCACCATCAGCACCCACAACCTCACAAGTTATCATCTTTGTTACAGATTTTGATAAGGAGACCCATATGTACAGAATGTTTGTAACACTTCCACTAGACAACTCTTCCATTTCATTTCCTGAGGCAGAATTAATGCCTTTGACAAACACTCCCCATGGTTTCACATGCTCTTGCTGTTGGGCACTTGAACATTATATAACCTGCTGACCAACAGGAGAATTCAAATTGAAACTCACTCAGCAAGGCAGGTTTAGTGGAAGAAGATAGTTAATAATTTAAGTACATTCATGGAGTAACCAAACTTTAAAATGAAGCAAACTAATGCTGCAGCTCCAGTGAAAGACATCTGAGTTGCCTTTCATTGTAAATGAAAATATTCAAGTCCTTTCCTAGTTCATTTTTCCATTTTTTTTTTTAAACTTCAAAACATAGAGCTCCAAATAAGGCAGCAGCAGGTAAAATGTGGCCCGCCAGGTAACTTCATCCAGCCCACAGGCCTGTGCCTACTAATTCATTGTATCCAGCCCAGCCCCAGGCTACCCCTGTTGTGCTTGCTTGGGGATGAAGTCCATTCACTCCTGTGGGGGCAGCACATGCTGTGCTCTAACCTTTGGCAGTGGTGGAAGAAGAGGGGAGAGTGGCAGCAGCGGCAGGCAGGAGCAAAGCAGCAACTGGATGGGAGTGTAAGGCCCACACCAGTACCCTGGGACCTAGGGTGGGGCAGAAGCACAGAGCCTAAGCTGGGGGGGGGGGGGGGCAGCACAGGGTTTGCCTGGCTTCATCACATAGGGCTCGCGTGCAGTTCCCAGGTTCTCTGCCCCAAGCCCTGTACCTTTGGGGGTGGGGGGTGGAAAGCAACCCCACATGATGGAGCCAACAGCCTGGCACTGATCAGTGCTACACAGAGGGAATAGA